CCGGCCCCTACCATGAAAATCTCTCCAAAAAAAAAAAAAAGGAGAAAAAGTGGCAGAGAAAATTCAAGGCACAGATCTTCAGGATGTGTATTTTGTAAGTTTCAGCAGTACTTTTGTAAGAAGTGACACAAATTCCATGTAATCCGTTGGTATAAACAGAGAATATTTTTTTCTCTTTTAAATCTCTGAATTGGAAGGAAGATCATAACTGAGGGACTGAAGAAGAGAAGATGCTTACTTAGACATAATAATTTGAGAAATAAAGATTTCCATTATGGTAAGAGGTAAAATCATAATGAATAGTAGCCAGTGGAGGGCCAGCAAGTGGCACAGTGGTTAAGGCACTGGATCCACATGGCCCGCATCACAGTTCAGATCCCTGACCTGGTGGCTTGAAAAATCATGCCAGACATGTGTGCATTAGTGCCCAAAATTCTGAGAAGAGAATGAAGAAGAAGGGATTGAGGCATGGACATTCCTCTGCAGGGGGACTTCTCTCTTTCCCCTTTATCTCTCTCTGTTTCCATCTGACAAATGCACATGTCCTGTGGAAAAACCTAAAAGAGTTAAAAAGAAATAAATAAAAAACAACCAATGGAGTGATTAAAAAATAGATAATAAATAAATGAAAGAAAAATAGAGAGAAAGGTTAACTAAAGGTCAATAAGCATTAGTTAAGGTAGAAATACTGTTTTGTGTTTAAAGCCCGTTTTGCGACATCACACATGATGTAAGTTTTTATTCAAATCTCTAATTTTTTTGTCATTCATTTAAATACAAAATGTTCGATCCAGAGATACAGTTTGGCTTAGAATCAATTTTAATTTTTAATGTGAAATTCTTGTAGATAGTCCTCAAAAAAAATTAACCTTTATATTAATCGTAAATCCTTCTACTATATACTTTCATATTTTACAGCTAGCCAGATAACTAACTGTCTTAGGAATTATCCTGATAGAACTGGGGAACCCAAGTTCAGCTACATAATAAGACAGAATAATGTGACAGTTATGTATGGTTGCCCCCCAAATCAACAATTACTGCCACATTATCTTCCTTGCTCTATCTTAATTTAGCAAAATCAAACCATCTGAAATCAAACTGGTACACGCATCCGTTCATTTCCTGTCCAATCAAAACTAAATTACCTGTCAACAGAGAAGTACACTTACAAGTGTGAAACCATTTGACCATGTTATATTTTAATTTGCAGAGACAAAAATGACAAGCAATTTATTTACATAAAACTGTACAAAAGCAAATTAAATTATGTAAAGTATTTCATAAATAGTTGGACGAGTGTTTAATACATTTCGCCATGTTTAGCATAGTTGCGTGCATAGTGACTCATAATAAACGATGATAAATTGTTCTCTGCTTCACTATCAACATCCAAGTAGCAGAACAATAGTCAATGATAACATTACAGACGGATCGTACCACACTGAATGCAAGTGCTTTAAAATGTAGGAAAAGTTGTCTGAAAGTAAACCCTAGGTAGCTGACAAAATGATGCCTTCCTCCAGATGTGACACGTATATAGACCCCTGCCTGGGTCACACCTAACAGGCACTGTATCCTTGATCATCTTCCATCTTTTTTTCTTTCTTTCTTTCTTCTCTAAGGACACATTTGTTTATTTGTCACTCATACAATACACCTAAAACAGTTTAGGTCTTCTGATTTTTCATGACTGTTTTAGGATGACTGCTTAATTCTGGCAGTTTCTTCTAGTCTGTGTTTTATTTTATTTTCCTATAAGACAGCTCCCTAGGGTAGCCTTTCAGCCACACATCCTCAGTATCATCTTAGTTCCTCCTCCCATAAAAATAATGCCTCCCTTGTTTTCTGAAACTCAGGCAGCAGGCCAGTCAGAAACCATACAGAAATGATATCTGGAGATTCAGAAAGAGCAGTAGATTTAGACGGAAGCTATAGACGTTTTAATACACATAAATTTTTATAGTTACTCATTAATTTATAAATGTGTTCTAATGTATAATGCATGCAAAGTTCACTTGAGATTCTTGTGTACAGAAAACAAGTATGGTTTATATACTGTACAACCAAAATGAAGCGACAGTTAAAAACAAACAAACAAACAAAAGCAATAAAGAATGAAAATTCAAAACCAATATTTTACCTTGTAAAATGGACTGATTTCACCCTGATAATCTCGCTCCGTGTTATTACAGTCAATGCTTTCACCTTGCAGTGAGATTTAAGCAGTCCATGTTAATGCCTTAATTTTGTTTTATGAATGAATAATATTTAAGACTGGTCCATTATCTGAGTTTGTCAGAAGGCAAATTTTTAATATAATATTTATTATTTTCAGAAAATAAACATGGATAAATATACAGGATCAAAAAAGTTGGGAATAGCCCATTTCCCCTCATTGTCCAAACCCAACAACCGTTTTTTTTTACCATAACAACAGGGTATAAAAGGCACAGTTGCTTATTTTGCATTCACTCATTTGTTCATTTTTTTTTGTTTCTTTTTATTGATTTTTTTTTTCAAAAGCACTCTATATATGGAGTGGCACCAGATTTAACCTATTCAAAATAAAAGTCATACAAACACAAAATATATTTCTGTGTCATGCCAGCTCATTATATAATAAACATGTTATGAGAGCTAATTCTACTAGAATTACTGCGGATACTTACAGTACACTGAATTTTATTCTTTCACACCCATTTTAGTTCTAAAGAGAGGTTCACAAGTTAAATGACAATGGCATGGCTGTCTTGAATATGGTGCAAACGTCATTGGGGAATGTGGATCCAATGAATCCCAAGGTCCGATATGACCCGTATTAGGTTTATAGACAACAGAAGGGTTTTAAGATGGAGTGAAATGAGCTATCTAGTGGTTTCAAGTGCCTCATGAAAGAAAGGAAAAAAATATGCATTAAAAAATTGGTTGAACATTTGTGTTATGCAATTGAGTATTTCCTTTGTAACGTGCAAGAAAAAATATGTATACATTTCATAAGTATCTTTAGAAGTATTTTGTCTTAATAGGTACTTACACATTATACAGGCAGAACTGCTTTAATGCAGTTTCTTAACAAAGTACTAGAATTGCATCTTTCCATAGTGTAAACAATAATCAAACATAAACATGTCCAATTATTGGTATTTAGTCCAATGTTTCTGTTTCAATTACATATCTTTTTATCCTACCTATTATACATAAACTAACATCAAAATGAAAACTCCATTTAAGAAAGAGCATAAGGAAATGACCCCAAACGAGTACCCCACCAAACCGAGAAGTGGTTTTCAAAGATAAGTATTTTGATGGCCTATAGTGAATTATCAACCTATATTCCAGGCTGCTTCACCTTAAAGTCTAAGAAATTCTGCAAAGCATGAAACTACCCAAAGTTGTATTTGTTTCTACAGATTGCTAGAGAAGCCATCAGGGCTCCACCTTGACCAGGTCACAAACATTTAGTGGTGAGAACATTTGCTCGCCCTCCCTGTTATCCACCATTCTGTCCATGGACTGTCACTTTCATCTGAATGTCCCAGGTCCATTTTCAACTGTATTAAGTCATTTGTTAGAGAGTAAGTGGCTCAAAATCTGCCTATTCTTTTTTTCTTTTAATAGCACTGAAAAACAAAAGGAAAAGAAAACTCTGCTTTCTCACTTTGAGATGTACATGTAGTGAGACATATCATTGCTCAGAACTCATTTCTATCATGTTCAGTTGTATTTGTTTAAAATATATATTAAATAATATTCAAATCATTAGTGACAAAGTCAATTAGGGTGTCATCTTGTTTCCATGTTGAGTTTCAAAATATTTCTGCATTGCACAGAATTCAAATGAATGCACTTGTATTATCTGGAAGTGTGCACTGAACAAGTCAGAAATAAAATGTGGACAATCAGACCAGCAAGTATAGTCTGAGTTCAAAGATAATAGTAGTGGACTTGACTATATGTCAATGCTTCTTTCCTTCCCTACCTAACTACCCATAAATATGATTTTTAAAAGTGGAATCTTCCCTGATAATATCTGAAACTAAGCTTGAACCTCAATCAATTGCTTACTGTAATGCCAAAAATACATCTCATTAAGTTTCCATTTTCTGAGCTTACAGATAAAATCCATTTTAAAAGAAGAAGCGTATTTCTGGGTGTAGAGACAATATAAATTAAACTAGTGCTTGAGTGTTTTCTGTGTGCATGGATTCAATTGCTTTTGTGGTTGAAAGGATTTCCACAGCCAGACCAAATCAACGTCCTGATTTCCCTGATCTGCCATATGATCTTTGGCCTTTTAATGACACAACTGTCCAAGTTAGGTGATAACAGTGGTCCTGTTTTGAAAAAATATGTAAGTTTTATAAGTCATAATTAGTATTCTTGATCTATGTGATCAAGATTGTGTGTATATTGAGACTATTCAGTGAATGTGTGTAACTAAAACTGATGCTCTTGACCTGAAAATAACAAACGCCAACTTGGGATCGCAATCACCCACTGAGTATTGTTTTGCTCTTAGTCTTTGCTAGAATATTTAAAGCTGTGATCTTCCCCAGATGTATTTTTCTTTCAAGAGTCCCTTTTGTAAGGACTGTACCTTTCAAGAGACTCTATCATTTTCAGAGGATTGCCCTTGATAGTGATCAGCCATATTCTGATGGTAGGTTTGAAATATATTTTTCCTGTCCTGCTTTTTTGACCAGCCGGATGACACTCGAACAAAATCAAAGTGACTAAAATCATGCTTCAGCTTAGGGATAATGAGAGTGTGTTGTGTTCTGCTAATCAGGCTTGTTACCATGAAAGAAACTTGCAACCATCTTTTTTTCTTTTTTTCTTTTTTTTTTTTTTTTCATTTTGGAGGGAGGTAGGTGGGAAGAAGAGAAAGTAGGTGCTGGGAATCAGTGTGGGGGTCAGACATGCAAGTAACAAGGATGGTTTCTACATTGTACACTGTAATCAGGCTAACAGGATCACTAAAGGCCTGATCTGGAGGCAGAAGTGGCAGGCAAAGCTTTGTCTCTTTGGTAGCCCCCTCTTTGTGATTGAACGGTTTTGTTTTGTAAGGTTTTTTTGCCCCTTATTTTCCTTCTCATACAGGAAAAGAACTTTGCTGTTGCTCCTTTATAGCCTACAGGTAAACTTCTCTTCTAGTGAGAGTATTGACAGGAGATGGCTTATATTCCCCTGTTTTTGTAAGGGGAATATCCTCAGGGTTGGCTTCCTCATTTTTGCTGAAACTAGCTGCACTGAAGGTCTCATAGGATGAGGTCAACTTTTTGTTCAGGAGGTTTCTGTTGCGGTCACCCATGATGGCGGCCTCACCATTGGCCAGCTTTTCCTGGCTTCCTCGCTCATCAACAGGCATGAAAGTGGAGAGTTTGGGCTGGCTCTTCTTCCTCTCCGGAGAAGTGCGGACCGGCATCCAGCAGGAGTCTGAGTGGCCATACTCATCACACTCACGAGTGCACTTCCCGGTTAGAGCTACATCTGGAAGAGGCCTTGAATCTGAAATCCAAGGAGAAGAAGCCATTAGTGTCGGACGTTGCTCCATAGGCCTTCCGGCTCTCTACAAAACTGAAGGGAAGAAAAAATACATACCCCTTGCCCTCTTATGACCCGTTTCCAAACATTCTGTTGCTTGTCATGCTATAGCACAGATTTTATTTTATATACATTAAAGATAAGGTTTTGCAAAAACATCAAACTTGATAGAGCCGAGGCAAGAAAAAGTAATAAATTTAAGCATGTAGAAGAGACAGCTATGTATGCATTTGTTACAGGATAGGGCTGTGTGGATACTTTCAAGCACAAGAGCTAAGTACATATGATTATCTGTATGGGGCATACATTTTTTTCCACATCCTTGAGAAAAATTATTAAACCCAAATGGATAATTTTCTATATCTATAAATTATCCCAGAAATTCTGTGCTTTTGCCAATTGGATTTCTTTCTGTTTCTGCATTATTCATGGCATGCAACTATGCAAAACCTTATATTTAAAATACATTCTAAAACATCAGGGTAACTCAGAAGTAGAACTTAAATTGACAGCACATTACAGGGTGAAAAGTAAAAAAAGTATAATACAAGTAGGTTATAGGTATGAACACACCAACAATATAACAATCTGTCCCACCCTAACCCACCTTCTCCCCCCACCAATGTCAAATGTGCTGTCGGATACTACCTTAGAAATGCACTTGCCAATGTGTTTGTTGAATGGAGATAGGATCTGAATTGTAATGCGCTGGATAAATGTAGTCAAGTTTCTAAACTTGTGATGAAATAGCATGTACTCCTAATTAATGATGCTGCCCAATGGAATGAGAAAGGTCTTTCATTTCTAAAAAGTCAAATCCTATCTAGAAAGAACTTAGGGAATTCAAGACTAAAGATGGCAGCTAATAACTACCTGCATGCGTAATTAAAATCATTATATGTGTCTGTCCTTGCAGAATGGTTATGTATTTTCTACTGAAAAATTTTTATAGGCTTTGTTTTTTGTGTAAGAAAGAGACGGTAAGGGAGAATAAGGTGCTCTACCTCAACTGTCTAAGAGAATGACATGGAAGATTTTGTTTAATAGGTCTTGTGGATTATTTTATTGCCAAACAAAAGAACATAATAAGACTATACTCCAATATATACCATGTGGTATTATTTGATGACAGGACTTGGAACTAAACAATGATAACTTTCACCTTTGCGAATATATTTATAAGCAAGGGAAACAGGAGTGAAAATGGCATATGCATAATCATCTTTTGGGTTTAAAATAAAAGAGAGGGTTATTTAAATGATTCCCACTAGCTTTACACCCACTACCGTGCCTCCAAACACTATCCCGGTGCTTTAATATTTTTATAAGATATTTCAGACGTTTTACTCTGCCTAGTCTCCTAAATCAAAACTCTCCAATAAAGTCTGTCACTTTTTTCCATCCATGATAGATAGCAAAAATATTGACATTTGTCAGCCAATCGATTTTTGAACCACAGTGGCCTGGGATTTTTTATGCCTTGTGCTGAAATTTCACAAGGAAATGCCAGTGTGTCTTGCAGAAAATCTAGAATTACTTTACTCTTTCTCAAAGACACAATGCTAAGGTAATAACTTACTGCAGTTGTACATACTGCTATTTGACTTCTAAGTGGGCAGGTCCTCTTAATTTTATCATCAAAAGAGACAACATTTTCCTTTTCTTTTTTATGTTAAATTCCCCCTGTGTCTCCCAAATATGTATTTTAGATGCATTACAAAAATCAAACTATTGACAAATTTTATGAATGGTTTTTATAATATAGTTGTTTTAAATGAACAAACTGCAAGTTAGTTCTTTGGGAATATTTTCTATCTTGGGATATTTTTATTTTTTTGAAGCTGACCTAAATTCTTTGAACAGGGAAAAAAAAAAAAGAAAAAGAAAACTGCATAAAAATGCAAAATGTAAGATCAGATCTACTTTTTTTTTTTACTCTAAACATTTCTTTTTTTTCTTCACTGCTGTAACAAATTCAAATTTATCTTTTTTTCTTTATGACATTACCTACTAAGGAAATGTGAAAATAATCAGGAATTAACCTTCCAAAATAGTACAAATCTTTATGAATGACCCAGAATTATCTGCAGTCCTCTCTCTAGTTTATTTCTGTCCCACACAATGTGTCAATGTCTTACAACAGAACTTACACAGGTGGCTGTGTTTTAGGGATTAATTTGTAGTTTGGGTGTGAAATTCATTGCACTTTTTTGAGATGCATTTACAAGCAGGTTTTAAAGCTATATGGATGCTCTAACAATTCTTACCATTTTTGTTATTATTATTCAACTTACATACTTGAACTCCCAATAGTTCATAAGAAATTACTACTGCATAGTTGAAAAAGTCATGAGGCATTTTTTTTTGGTTTTTCTATGCAAAAGTGCATTATGCTTTTCTGACTATGTAATATTTCATTTATACTGACTCAGTTTCCAATCGACTGTAATTCTCCAGTCAAGTTCAATTCTTTCCCTCAGTCTTTACTCCACAGTCCGAAGTAATTCCTGCTAAAACTGATTTTCTCTTACAGCTTTTGTTGAAAGGCAGTTTGTCTTCTGTGTCGTCATCCACACGGGAGCTGCCACATCTCTATCTAAGAAGCATGACTTTTAATAAGGATCGCCTGTCACTTCCAAAGTCAAATACATGATTAGGGACCACAGTGGAAGTTGACAAGCCTAATTGGCTGAGACATGTTGCAGTATTTGTCATCAAATTTAGAAAATAATCAAGAAAGGCTATAAGGGATTCATCACAAGCAATCAAAACTTCCAGTCTTGATGACTAAAATAAATCTTCAAAAGAAATGCCAATGATTAACAAATGCAATTTGTATTATGATGCAATTAATTAAGGGAAGGCATGAGTAGAATAGTATTTTTTGTGTTTATATGATTTCTTATTTTAATTATGCATGATATATATTTTTTTTACTGCTAGAGGGTGCCTGCTCTCACCAGAGAGAGGCACACAGAGAAAAAGAGATGGAGAACTCTCTAATGGTGGGTAAGCATGCCACAAACCCTTTTCTTCCATGTCTCTATCCTGCCAGGATTTGGAGCAAACATGCACATGCACCTGGTAAATCTTTCAAGCCACCTGGGCTGGGATTTGAATCAACCATGTGTGGTCCAGTTCCCCATGCACAAGGGTCTAACTGATGTTCCATGGGACAATCAACCTCTATATTATAATTTTTGAAAAAACAAAAAGTTATCCAGCTTAAGAGAATCATTGAACACAATTTTTCCTGCCCCCTATAAATTTAAAATGTTCTATTTTGTTAGTATTGGGGGGGAATCATGGAGACAGACTCTCTACAACCAGTAACTCTTCTTCGTTTTTCACTTTAGCATATGTTTCTAAAACCTCAGAATATGATTTTACTACTATTCCCTTTAATGTTGACCAGAGTGAAGATGGAAAACAGCTTATCACATTCTCGGTAGTTGGTAATGAGTACATAAATACACAGGCAAAATGTTCTATATGGGAATGCATTTGTATTCTCTGGAAGCATTTTCCACGACAAAACCAGTACTTTAAAAGTTTTTCATTTTTTGTATTTTCTCTTTATTCACTCTTAATAAAAGTTGAGAAGCAAAAAAAAAAGAAAAGAAAGAAAAAAGAAGACTTAATCAGATCCTATTCTTGCTTAATATTGCTTGTAGTTTTCTATTTTTATCTATGTGTGGTGTTCGCTAGAATCATTGCATCCAGTTGAAGAGTTAAAGCCCTTTCTTAGACAGAAAGATCATTTTCCTCTTGAAAGTACACAGTTTTAAGCCATTAAAATAGCAGTCTTAGAACAATTTAGAACATATGGAGCCCTGTTTTCATACTTCGTCCTTTTCACTCATCACTACAATCAAAAAGCAAGGAGGGCGGAAGCAGGTGGGGGTGGGAGTACAACCTATGGGAGAACTGAGGTCAAAGAGTAAGTGTCTTGACTTTCCTGTCAGTGTTTATCCACTGTCCCATATTGTTCATTCTAATGATAAAAGAGCTGCGTTAGAGGTCACTTACTGCTACTCACAGCCATAAGAAAAAGCTATAGGCCTCAAATAAAGAGAAAACCATATGTGAACAGCACAGGAAATAGACATTACAAAGCCATGCATTGTACTATTTAGTGAAAAGAATGGTGCAACCTCACTACCTAGAGTTTCCTAAAGGAGACGACACCATATGCTGATTTAAGAAGTCAGGTTCATTCTCTAAATTGAAGCTGTTTTTTGTTTTGTGTTGTGTGTGTGTGTGTGTGTGTGTGTGTGTGTGTGTGTGTGTTTTCCTTTTTCTTTTTAGGCACTGCAGAGTAGGCAGGGGCTGCCGGATGCTGTTATGATGACCCCAACGAGAAGTGACAAGCAGATAATATGTAGAATCATTAGAAATAACAAGAAAAGCCCAGATTTACAGAGGCATTTCATGTTTCTAGAAGCTGTCCTCCTCCACCATTCAGAAACTATTATAGGCACCATTGTTATAGAGAGTACAGTGGACTTGGGAAGATGCTTGGAGACAGCTCTGCCCCAGTAAGGATTTCGAGGGTGCTGACTTACGCATTCTGGCAGGATTCTGGACACCCACTCCACCCCAAGTCCTTGGCATGCAGCTGAAGATATATGAATCTATATCTATTTCTTTAATAAGAAAAGGGATGGAAATGATGCACTTTATTTTAAAATATTTCCAATGTTTTTTTTTTTAATGTGTGTATCGTTTAATTTTTTGTTGAATTTACCAAGTATTAGTTTACTGACTGTAGGAGGGAAATGTATTGTCAGTCAATATGTACACTTCCCAGATGTTCACACCATTCCTCCAATGTGTCTTTTAAAATTAAATACGAATATTTTCCTAACATTACTTGACAACATTCAGAAAATAATACGCTGTATTTTTTTCTTTTTGACAGAAAGAGAAAAGGAACTTTTCCTTTTTTAAACTATTTGTTTTTA